TAGTTCCTGTTCTTAAAGGGAATGCCTTTAACCTCTCTCCATTAAGAACAATGTTGGCTCTTGGGTTTTCATAGATACTTTTTACTATGTTGAAGAAATTATCCTCTAGTCCTATTTTGTTGAGTGCTTTAATTTGTCCCATTGCATCTCCCCCCTTCTGTTTGTTTTTTGTTTTTTTTAAAACGCAGTTTGTGAAGTTAAATTAGCCTTTTTTATTATAGCTTGTTCTTGGGGATTATACAGAATATCAGTAATATGATTAATGTTTTCTTTTTTAAGAAACTTTTGTGTTTTCTTAGAATTATAAGCTGGAGCATTATCAGTTTTAACACTTGATGGAAGACCCATCACATTAAAAGTTTCAAATAAATGTTGGATTACATACTCTGATTTTTTTTTTCCTGGTAAAGGAGTGGCCTATTGAAAGCCTGAAAAAGTATCAATAGTATGATGAACATATTGTAACTTCCTAAATGATGGAATATGAGTAACATTCATTTGCTATAATACATTTTGTTTATCACATCTAGGATTAACTCCTTTTTCATAGGGTCGTACATTAATGGGACCACATTGAGGACATCTACGTATAACTTCTTGAGCTTGTTGCCATGTAATTTTACAATTTTTATTATTCTATTAACATTTAAATGTGTATGGAGATGAAAATCTTTACTAACTTTAACATTTACTGTTTTTATATTTTTTACAGTAAACTCAGCATATTGTGAATCAGTAACTATATTTAAAGGAAAGTTTTTATCTTGCAATAGGGTAATAATAGCATATAGTTTAGTTTTAACTACCTTGTTATTTTTACCATTAGTATATCCTGCGTAACTTATTTTATTTGCATCTTATTAATAAATATCTTCTTGTAAAGGTGAAGTTTTTACTTTTACTGATAGTATTCGATTAGTTCCTTTACCTGATTTCATTTTTTTATTACAAACACGGCAAAGCTGTAAGGTCTAGTGGTTTAATATGATCTGCTAAATATTGTTAAAACTTTTCATGTCTCTTTAGTAAGGGGCCACTGCTTCACCCAAATTGGTTTTTCTGTTAGCCAAGTTAAGGGGAGAGCATGAGGAACAGTGGCCCTCATTATAAATTTTGATATTTTATTTCTTTTCTTAAAAGATTAAATTTAGGTTTTTGAAAACTAACAATTCCTTGTTTCTTTTTATTCAGCATCTTATTGGGAATTTGTAATGTTGCTCCTCACTTGTCAGATAAAGATCTACATTCATTAGTTCAATGATAACCTTTTCCATATTTTCTACAGAGCCCTGAAGACATGGATTTTTACTCTCCCTTTTTTCTTTACCAACAATCTTTTTTCAAATGTCCTAATTTTCCACAATAGTAACATTCGGTTTGAGACAAATTTAAAGTTCCTTTAAACGCAGCAACTATTAGATTGGCTTGATAAGAACTAGTTCCAATGTCCATACAAGCACATATATATTTATCTAGGGAAGCATTCTGAGTTTTCAATGGTCTAATAGCCTTTTTGACATTCTGAATCAGCATTTTTATATGCTAAAGTTTTTTAACAAAAGCTCACGAACTTCAGGCTGAGATATTGCTTTATTAATTGCATCCTTCAATCTAGATAGAAAATCAGTATATCTTTCATTTTTAGACTGTGTTGTTCTGATGAAGGATTGATCTCCCTTTTCTGAAATTTTTACGTTATTCCAGGCTTGCATATATAGTAAAGCCTTGCTTGTAAAATTAGTGTCATCATACTGTAACTGAGCTTATACTCCAAGCCATTGTTCTTTCCCCAATAACTGATCAGCAGTAGCATTAATAGGAGGATTTTTAGATAAATTAATTATCTTCATATTTGTAACTTCATCAGTTTATTAAGTTTTAAACTGTAAATATGCTTCAGATTCTAAAACTGTTCTGACTATGAACTCCCAATCATAAGGAATGAATTTAAATTTTGTAGTTAATTCTTGTAATATGCCTTTTACATATGTAGAATGCATACCATAAGAGACTATGATAAGATAACGACTGATGTTGATACAATTTATACTCTTGGGGATATTCTTGATTGGGAGGCATATTCTGAATTGTTACTGGAAATACAGAGGCTCCTTTAAAAGTAGTCACTCCCACTGGAGCATGATTCACATTATTAAATAACGTAGAATATGGAGCAGTTGCTGTTGATGAAGCTGTATTTTTACTTTGGTAATATATCTTATTATGAGAACTTAATTTGCTTATTTTATTAGAAAGTCTTAAAACTTGTTTACCTAATTTCTTTTAAGGACTATCATTCTGTATCATATTGCTTAATTTTGGAGTTGGAGGTGGAGGAAATTTATCCTCTTTTGTATTAGATTTACTATTACTCTTCTTTGAAGAGGTTTTTCTTTTAATTTTTTTAGATATCTTCTTTTCAGACCTTAATAGTTTTTATGTCAAAGAGATTAACTCCCATAATGACCAAACTGAAACAGGAACCACATTTTCTTCTTGCTGAGCTTTTTATAAAGCTCGCATTACATTTTTCTAAGATTTTAAGTTTAACTGCTTTCTTTTTACTAGTTTAAATCAGCAATAGTGTTTCTACATATATCAAAACAATTGCAAAAATGACTTTTCTCTTGCTTTTACTCTTGAGCTCTCAAGCAATTTTTAATTAAGTTAATGTACTGAGCTTTATAGGGTCAGTTTTAGTTTTTAAACAATGTTTACCACAGACATACCAGATATTTAGGCAAAACCCCCACAGAGGCGCACAGACACAGGGATAGCAGTCGGATTCCCACAGGAAAGAAAGAAAGAGTCAAGCCTTTGAGCCTCATCTGCGCAGGCCTGGCCATGGACAAACCAGGATACCCCGTCTACACACATGCCTGCAGGGCCGCACCAGTGCTTGCTGGTTCCCGGGCACCTGGGGCACCTGGGTTTTTATCATGCCAGTGGCGCCTCGTGGCGGTTCCTCCCCACCACCACCCTGCTGCAGCCAGAGGACATTTTGTGTTTTGCCTTGCCTTTGCAGCTGTGGGACACTTTGCCCCACCCCGGAGGAGAGCAAGCACGCTTGCTGGCTCGCTGGCGCTGGCTGCCGCCATTTTCCTTTTCCTGTCTTAAAGAGATATTTAATTTGCTTTGCGAGATCTGCCGGCTACTTACTGTTTTTATTTTAAGGGTTTCATCTGGGCTCCTTTATGCGACTTGATCTGGATGGCCTGGCAACAATAGGACAAGAACAAAGACAAACAGACAAAGTAGAAAAGATAACAATAACACAACAGAGAAATTCCAATACAGTTCGCACAACAAAACCAAAACTTGGAACCCCGGCCTTTCCTGAGTATGGGCTCCAGATGATGGGAACGACCCACCTTTAGTTCCTTCAGACCAGACCAGACTAGAGGAACCCTGTCCTTGACGAGGGTCTGAGCAGACATCTCCAACTCTCCCATGCTGGAGTTCTGTTGGGCACATCTGCCCAGAAACTCGGGCTCAGGTTTACGGTTCAAACCACCAGATACATAGACAGAAATAATAGACACAGAGAGAGTGCTCGCTGAACTTACCAGCCAGGGACTAAAGCGCTTAACGTGTTAAGGATTCTTTGGGGCACACATTTCCCGGCCAATGCACCAAATGTTCTGCCCATGGAATGCGCCTCAAAAGAATAATCCACATGTTTGTAAATACAAATAAGCACTTTATTCCAGAGTATATTCACATGTGGCGACTTTCTCCCTCCTTAGGAAGGTGGCAAGGGGAAAAGCCCCCAATGCCCCTCCATAATTGCTATTATGGCTTTCCTGGGTGCCACTGTAGGGGCGGGGAGATTGAGATCATGGTTGGTGGGTCGGGGAATCAGTCATGTGGGTCAGCTTTTGACGGGCTAGCTACTTTGCCCGCCTTTACTCTTTTCGTGTCACGTAGACACTAGTTAATTCTTTACTTTGCTAGGACAGGTATGACTTTACCCGGGGCATTTGTGTTTGCCTTAAGCGAAGAATTTTTATGGCCTGCTTCTGCTTCTGGCATTAATGGGGGTTTATAAAAAAATGGGATTTATGCTGTCCCTTCAATATCATCTCACCGGATAAGAAGAGCAATATTCAACACAGCAGCAAACAACACATGCTGCCAAGGTTGTGAAGAAACTGGAACCTTTATTCACTATTGGTGGAAGTGTAAGGTGGTGCTACCACTATGGAAGGCTATATGGTGCTTTCTTAAAAAGTCGGAAATAGAAATACCATTTGACCTAGCAATTCCACTACTGGGAATATACCCTATAGAAACCATAACTGCCACCCAAGCAAATATATGCACACCCATGTTTATTGCTGCTTTGTTCACAATAGCAAGGAGTTGGAAACAACCTAAGTGCCCATTCACAAGCAAATGGATAGAGAAGCTGTGGTATGTTATGCAGCACTGAAAAAACAAAGAACTCATGAACTATTTATACAAAATGGGTGACCCTGGAGGTATGCTGAGTGAAATAGCTCAGTCACAAAAAGAACAAATACTGCATAATGCCACTGTTATAAAACAGGACAGACATGGGGGTTGGGGGGGAACTAAGAAAAGAGGGGATAAATAACGTACAAGGCATTGAAACATATGAGGGAAAGAATTGTATAAAAGTAATATATGATTAGCTATTATTGCCATGGCAAGAGTCCAGAATAAGACAAGCAGTGGACTCTGGAGGGGGGAAGGTCTGTATAACAATGAAACAATTTTTTTCCCAAAGAAAAAAGTTAACTGGGAGTGGGGGGAGGGAGGAAAATGTGCAACAATGAATGAATGGAAATCCAGGTTTTCTATAACTTTCATTCAAATATCAATAAATTAAAAAAGAAATATGTCAATTGATATTCCATCAATTCTTGGGGCCTTGATTTTTGTCAGTTTCTTCAGAGCAGCCTGCATTTCCTGTTTTATCACCATTGCCTCTTGATCATATGTTGTTTCTTAAAATTCTTCTGTGTCAGCCAATTCTTTTTGGTACAATTCTCTGTATTCTCCTTCCATATTCTTTTAAAGATTCCTGGATCATTCAATATTCTGCCCATAACATCCTTCAGCATTATAACTCGCAGCTTGAATTTGTTCTTTAGTTCCTTGAACTTAAGAAATGCTGAGCAAGTTTGGTCCTTTTGATTTTCCAACTCCAACTCCACAACATTTCGTTGTAATGCTTTATCTTGGCTTCCTGAGCTGCCCTTTGAAATCTTCTATTCAGCTCTTTAACTTCTACATTTCTTCTTTTGCTTTGGCTTCTCGAAGCTCTAGTGTAATCGAGTCTTTTCTGACATCCATTTTGGTCTTATCTCCTTCCTCCTTCTCTGCAATGACTTTTTGCATTCCTCATGGACGATATTCTTTATACCTTCCAGCAGCTCATGTGGTTTTCGTTCATTAGTGTAAAAAGACTTAAACTTGTTCCTGAGTTGGTTTTTAAATTCAGATCAAATTTTTGTTCCTTGAATTTAATTTGATCTTTTTTAGCTTTAATTTGAACTTGTGTTTGAGTAGTTGAATATCTGTTCCACAATCAGCACCCAGCTTAGTTTTCACTGCTGACAGTAAACTTTTCTAACAGTTCCTTCCACAGATGTAATCAGTCTGATTCCTTTGCATACAATCAGGTGAAATCCATGTGTATAGCCGGTGTTTGTTTCTTAAAAAGGTATTTGCAATGAATAAATAATTGGTTGTCCAGAGTTCTATCATTCTAATCCTTGCCTCTTTTTCTGTCGCCAATTCCATGTTTTCCAACTACTGATCCTTCTTTCTGGTTCCCAAATTTGGCATTCCAGTAACCCATTATTATTAATGTATCTTGAGTACATGTTCCATTTCTAACTGTAACAGCTGGTAGAAATCACCTATCTCGTATTCATAGGCTCTACTCGTTGGTGCATAAATTTGAAAGATAGTGGTGGTATTAACTGGTTTTCCTTGTATGTGTAAGGTTATTATCCTGTCACTCACAAGATTGTATTTCAAGATGGATATAGAAATGACCTTTTTAACTATGAAAGCAACCCCATTTTTTTAATTTCAATTAGACAACTTTTAATAAATGAGAAAACTACATTAAAATGTGCTTTAAAACAAAACAGGATTAGAAAAAAAGATGTATGCATTTTAGATAACTTTGCACTGTGCTGAAATCAAGTATCTCTTGCAGTAAATACAATGTGCCAATTCAAAAAACTCTAAGTTTAAACAGAATTTTCAATTTAACATTTTCAAAGACAATATTTAGGTCAAGATTTTCACATCAATGGCAGCACATACAGAAGGGCATTATAAATTTATGTCCATCCCTATGACACTTAGAAATTTGACAATGCTCAATAAAAGCATTTAGAACCATATCCAAAGATAAATCTGTGTCTTTAAGTTCTTGTTCTATTATAATCTTTATGTTGACTTTTCTATTTGCCATTTGCTAATATTAACCCTTTAAAAAGAAGAGGACAGGAAAAGAAATACAGTAAACTCTTGATCATGTACAGAAATTATTGCCACTATAGTTCACTACAAAGCGTGTCTATACAACATCATATGATCTTGATCATGAAAAATCAGAAGAATAAAAATCTTTAGTGACATAAGCTTTACAATCGTATACAACATTCACATGGCAATAGTAGACAGTTATGTACCCAATAACCAAAGTTGACAAAATGTCATTCACTTAAATACATCCTTCTTACAGAGGGGGAAGAGAGAGAGAGAGATAGTGTTAGCTTTCCAAGGCTTGTCAAAAAAGGATTCTCATGTTGTGTGAATCTAAAAACAACAACAACAAAAACCGAAAAAAAACAAAACCAGTGCAGGTGAAGGTGTTACCCGAAAGCTAAGCATGTCAAAAGGTGTTTCGCGCGAATTAAACCTAAAGCCAAGGTACCACATAATAACATTTCCAGCTAGTCAGGTAATACTATATGAGTCTTATAAAGTTAAATGAAATGCTACTGTACAATAGAGCATCAATAAGTTAAAAATGATAGTGCACAAATCCAAATCAGTGACAATTTCTGTATAAAGCACAGCATTCATTATCAGCTGCAAAGTTTGTCTAGTCAAACTGATTAAATCACTGGATTGGACAGTTTGTGAATATTTTAAGCAATCAATCTCAATTCATTTTTCCTGTATTGAGACATATATTGTCTTAGGAAGATCAAACAGGTACATAAGTAGAGAAAAGTAAGGGAAAATGAGTCGGTGAACACCTTTAAAGCTCTTCCCGCATTTCACTTTTAAAAATGTTTTGGGGAAAAAAAGTAAAGTATCTGCCATTACTGTAGCAAAACAAACAAAATAAAATAAGCATAAAATAATTAAACAACCAAGCAACACTAAAACTACATTACACTGATGCTTTCATGTGGTTTAACTATTACATCTAGTTTAACTGGGATGCTCTTCAATTTTAAAAACTGTGATACTGTGGATGTAATTTTAATGGATATTTTTAAATTTGGATTTAACTTTGTTGAATTCATTTTAACAGAGTATACTTATTACAATACAGTGTAGCACATCTTTCTATTAGAAAAAAATTTAAGATCCTTTACCCGTCTCCTTAAGTTAAAGGTGTGACATCATAAAGGGTGTCAAATGGCTGGATGATTTTACAGTGCACACTTACATATTATGAAGTATGTCCTTAACAAATCTGATAGTTTCATTACACAGTCCCTTTCTTCACCTTTTCTTCGGTGAATTAGCTGTTCGAGGTGGAGTAACAGGACGTCCAGAATTCAGGCCACCATACTGGTACTTAGCTTTCTTTTCAGATGGTTTCAGTATCTGAAATGAACACATCAAGGTTTCATCCACACTCATCATTCCACCAGCATTATCAAACTCGCCACAATAATTTGGGGCTGAAAACAGGGTTACCAACTGTCGCTTAGCAAAAAATTCATATCCATCTTCAACCACCTGATGAGGTCGACAAATCAAGTCCAAATCATGACGGTTCAGAAATTTACTGACGACATCAGCTCCAAAAGTGAAGGAGACACCACGATCATTTTCTCCCCAGCCTTGCACATCCTTATCTGGATCGGACCATAGCAAATCGCAGAGCAAACCTGTATCAGGTCTCATGATTCTCTGAATTTGCTCCATTGACTGCAGGTCTGGTGACAGTCCTCCATGACAACAGAAAATCTCATCCACAATGGCAGCTATAAGCAGACAGTTAAAACAATCAGTGAAGGTCTCCCACAATTTAATATTAAACCTTCGTTTACCACAAATTTTCAGTGGTGCTTCCAATTCGAAAAGAATAGGTTGGCTGAGAAAGATCCCCCGAGACTTGATACATAAGCCCCGAACCTCTGCTTCAGTCATCTGCACAATCTTTCCTGGACGACATCCTCGTACCTCCAGTAATCGGGTGATGAGACTATCCATGTTCAGCTCCCCGTCCGCCATCTTGTCGGCACTCGATTCAGCTTCCTGGCAGTGGGAACAAGGGGTTCTGGGCGGCGGAGGCTGCAGCGACGGCTCAGCGTTCTCTCACCAGCGCCACCACGGCCCTAGGCCCTACCCGCAGCGCCGCTCTACACGGCCCTTCCCCGCCACTGCGCCACGCAGCCCTTCGCGCAGGCGCACGGCGCACTCCTTCCCGCCTCCCTTGGCGGGTTCAGCAACCCCATTTTTTCCCTCACCTTTTAATCTTCTGCATATCAAAATATCCCTTGTGAGCTTTGAATTTTGGAGTTGGTGACAGGACCTTGCAAACACAGTAGAGAGAGGGAGTGGTTTTAGACACAGGACACACCTCTGGACCTTTGACCCAAGCCCGACAAGTACCAAGGCTACCCTCCCCCCTGAAGTTTGCGCCTCTCCCCCAAACCCCTGCCAGCTTAGAATTTTAGAGTTGGTGAGAGGACATCACAGATGCATAAGAGAGAGGGAGTGATTTGGACCAGGACACACCTCTGGACCTTTGACAAGCCCAGCAGGTACAAGGCTATCCCCACTCCAAGTTTGCGCCCACCCCACCAGCTTTGAATTTTGGAGTTGGTGAGAGGACCTTGCAGACGCAGTAGAGAGAGGGAGTGGTTTTGGACATAGGACAACACCTCTGGACCTTTGACCCACACCCTGCAGGTACCAAAGCTAGCCCACAACCGATGATTGTGCACCACCTGATTGTGCAGCACCGCCAGCCTTGAATTTTGGCGATGGTGAGATGACCTCGCAGATGCAGTAGAGAGAGGGAGTGGTTTTGGACACAGGACACACCTCTGGACCTTTGACACGTGCCTAGGCTACCCCGCCCCCCAGAAGGTGGCGCCCCCGACAGCTATGAATTTTGGGTTTAGTGAGAGGACCTCGCAGATGCAGTAGAGAGTTGGAGTGGTTTTGAAAACGGGACACACCTCTGGAACTCTGATCCTTCACCTGGCAGGTATCTAAGCAATCCACTCCCCAGGAATTTGGCGCCCCCCCC